GCCTTATGTTCCACTTGAAACCAAAGTGCACCGGGATCAGCGAATATACATTCATTTGCAAACTAATCTGTTTTTTTTCGACAGACTCACCTGGAACCCAGCTGAATCTCTCGTTTGTCATGTTCTCAGGCACCTGAATGTGATGCACCAGGCCGCCTCATGTTTCAGTCGCTACGATATCTGAGATATCGCGATACATGTATAACTTTGTAATGTACTACTCATAAGGTTGCTGAAAATCCGTCGACAGCCCACGACCAAAAACATGGGAAATTTTTGGCGGCTCGCATAGCAGCTTGTGCTGAGCTGGAATAACATTAGAATCTTGCAGAGGCCTTCTAGAAGTGGGGATTCCTTAGCGGGACTTTATGAAGTGGGAAAGAACTAACCTGCAGGCCCTGCGGATTGAAGTTGACGCTAGTTTCCAGTATTGGACACTATGATCTGACTGAATTCACAGTGATTAAGGTCTTTCAAGCACGACATACATAAACAGCCGGATGGATGTAATGTTCCTATAACGCGAGACGGAAGTATAGGACCTCCCCAGTTCGGTCGTTGAAAAGTAAACTGTGCTGGCCGAAAAGTCGGTTGGTTATATTGCCATCTGTCGTGTTTCTCGAAGCAATCCATAACCAACCCATCGCTGCGCTAAATAATTCAGTGGTGATGGGGTTTGGATTGAAGAGACTGAGGTCATTACAGCCCCAGACGAACGAGCTTACGGGAAAAAAACTACAAAGATCATGCACACAGCACTCCACAGTTGTTGCCGTTTGTTACAAATGTCACCGACAACATCTGCACTAACTGTCCTGTTAAAAAACCACGCTGAAAGGAAACTGTTGTACGAAAATTGGGGCAAATGATGTCGAACATTAAGAGCAAACGTTATGCGTGCAAATTGATTCACGTGGGACTTTCATGGCAGCTACAGCAGATCCCTAGCATCACTGAACGCTAGTCAGAACGTAAATATTTCAAAGGCTTTGTGTCGTGAGCTGCGTGTCCACGACGGTATGCTGCACGCATCCAAAGGGCCTGTAGTTCAGCTTACTGTTTCACGTAAGCTCCACATGGCACATCAGGGTGAATCCAACACATTTATATAACACCCGAGCATCACACCATGTAGTCAGTTGTCTTCCACACCATTGTAGTTCATCCTACTGGATTACTGGTCAGTCTACAGCATACGGTGTGGCATGATATTCGTTGAAAGTTGCAATTGGCTACGCAGGTTTCAGAATATCTACGAAAGTCAGTAATGGTTAGGACAGATATCTGACTCTGGCCCATCGGACTAGCCACGATTTTCAGAGAATCGAACTCATTTCGTGCGGTTGTTCGTGGACCTCGACTAACATGGACTTCAGGTTCGATATCCGGCCAGGCTGCAGAAGTGCTACGATATTACTTCAAGTAAAAAAGTAGTCACATGAATTGCAACAATCTACTGGAACAAACCATCCAATTTGTCACGTCCAAAGGACTGTAATTTAAATCTTATCGCACGTCAGGCACACCATAAAGCAGGCCTCTGGTGAGAAAGTCAAATCAAATGCATAACCATAAAGCATTTCGAGCAAGGAATACATCATGTGCATTCACGTGACCGGGTGACTTATGCACACTTTCTTTGATACGAAACTCGTTCTCTTTGATCCTTCTCCCTTCGCCCATACGAGAGTAATGTGTATACAAATTCTAAAAATATCGCACCTACTCACGGTCACAGAAAAAAATCAAGCAGCATTCTATCGAACAAAAATGATGCAACCTACCACACATTAGTGGACTTGTTTTTCAAGTATACCGCTAGACTACTCATAAGATTGATGGAAGATCTTCGACAGCCCCACGACCGGTTTCGCCCTTCTTGGGGTTCATTAGATAGGTGTAGCCCCCGATTTTTCGTCAGCCTTATGTTCTGCTTGAAGCGGACCATCATGAACGAGATTATGCCGGATTTAGTTGAGTCTCCTGTCAAGACCAAATTCGTGTGCAACTGGGAATATTTGTCAATATACAGTGAATTTTTCAGTCAGATCAGCGACTTACGAAGACTATGATGTATGTCAGTAATAACCACACCCCAAAAATAGACTTCCACGAGACAGTTCCTACTAAACTTATTGGATGGCGCACTCAAGGCACCAACAATTTAGGTGCTGTCCATATGGGCCACGATCAGATCACCGGGCTCATACACTACTCAGAGGATCGTAAGTAGTTAAAATGTAAACCGAAAACATTGGAAATGCCCAGTCGGTATCCGGAACACCTTAGAACGTAACATTCAGCAATTTCCGAAGTCAGCCAAGTGGGGTATATTTAGTCACGTAGGCTTATTGCTTCCGGTCCCCTCAGGATTACGCATCGTCTAAGCAATCATGGTCAGTTCATTTGTGCAGACCAGCTGAAGGCATGTTGCGTAATTTGGACATTCATCGAAGCCTTATTCGTTGGAACTTTTAACGATACCATCCAAGTAGGGAGGACGTGATAGACAGGATGCCGCTAGCCACATCGCTTCCAAAGTCAAATGGGTGGGGCTGAAATACATACACGATTGGGGATGTGTACTTGTGATAGGCTCCAATAAGAGCGGAACGCGATTCCAGTGCTAGGTGTCTAACACGTGTGTGCAACTTTTCAAGACAGAGGCGGGCAACCAATCTGAAAAGGCCCATGAAAGGAGCCGAAAGCGCGTATAGGTTTAGAACGCATTCCGAAATTTCGAACCAGACTTCACACTTCTGAACATGGGAATTCAGCATTTCAGGCTAGCCGTCAGTTCAATGTTCATGAGCTGATGTCTACGTGGCTCACCCGTCACATCAGCTATTGTATTTAAGTACAGTAGCCAGTCGCACATAGTTCCCCGGAGAGCCCTTTTACAACAACCACAACCGTGAAAACTAGCCAGGAAAGGTCAAACGACTTGGTAGCGATGTATGGAAGTCATTACAAACAAACTCCACTACGTTGGTCATTGCTGTCTCCCTGAATCGGGACCCGAGACGGGACATATCAGTGGTTAGAGATATTGAAAAACACAGCCCAGTCGCGTGTGTATCCAGTATGGTACCTGTATTGCAATACAATTTCTCCAAATGGAAATACTGCCGACATACCTGACTTCACGTATCCATTGTATCACCTACTGCCCTCAACGAGTAGCTATCCAACCTTATCGCTCCAGGTAATTAGCAAGCAAAACTTTGGCAGCTATAACCACTGGGCAATGTGTAGGCAGTTTTTGCAGCTGAAGATGATAATACTAGTGCTGGCATATAGGTCACTGCGAGAATTCGGGCCCCACACTGGTAGGTGGTCTCTTTTCAGAAAGAACGCACACTAAATCATGCTTGGCAGGAAACGCCTTTGTGCATTCTAGAAGGGGGTTGCCTTCTCAAAAGGATTTATCGTCACTAGCATTGCACATTTAACATCACCATATAGAGTCACAGATCTTGTTTCAACTGTCATGTTCACGTAATGCAGATGAGTGAGGGGTGGGAAAGGGTCTTTCATGGGGGGAGCTAGAAAGTTGGAGAACCACTGCGTTAACATACCTTGAATCCAGTGTACTTATGTATATTCTTCAGTTGGATCTTGTAGGCCTCTGAGGTGAACGTATCCCGCTGAAGATATTGGTATGGACAGTCGGGGTGATCACACCCTGGACGTTGCGGTCGACTGGCGATTGATTGCCCCGTGTGCAGAAGTCGAAAGCAGTCACATTTGATATTGGGTTGCTCCACTGTGTCAGGCAAAACTGACGGATCTAGGGAATTCGCTTGTTCAGCGGTTACCTCTGCTGACATTGTGTGCTGCTAAAAGAAAAGCGAAGCGGTACAAGCACGGTGACACTAGAACAAAATAACGTTTGAAAAACATAGATGGCGATAAGAACTGATACTGACTTGATGTGCTGGCGATAGAGAAAGCCAGGAAAATCCCGTGAGGAATAGTCGCTCAAGAGGATAACAGCTGTGCCACATGCTTGAGAAGACAGATGAGATATGTCTGAGTGATATTAAAAAACAGTAATTCAGCTGGTGCATAGCTGCCATGCCAGTCAAAGGAGACACGAGGGCCGAAATACTGCTGGGTTGCCCAAGCCCAGAGAAGGGCAGTCGAGATGCAGAGGTCGAGTTCGAACCACGGAACTTCCGATCAGTAAATTCGCACTCTTACCAATAAGCCATCTCGCCCCCTATTAGAAATAAATGCCGGCTGATATTAGCCTAACTTGTGTGACGCTTGAACAATCAAGCGATCAAAGTGGCGACCGTGCATATCAGACGAAAGCGCGTCACGTCGATTGGGTAGTTGGTGTTCAGATGGATGTGGCGCTAATCCGTACGAGGACGTAAAACCTGCTGCCACACCATTAGGACCGTGCACGCCACAGTAAAAACTAGTGAATTAGGAGCTACTTCATAAGCATGCTTTGATTTTAGCCTTCTAAGCAAGCACGCATGGATTTTACGTGCTGAATAAAAGCACCACTCTGAAAAGCGATTACTGTTACCCTATACTGTGAGTTAACGTTGCGACAATACCGGAATGCAACAGCGCTGCTGTGACCATCGTTGTTCATACCTAGATGAATGGTGGGTAGCAGGGTCTCGGATCGTTGGGCTCAGCTGTTCAGATATACCCACATGAACTGACAATCATTAGCCACCAGTTGGGTATGCTGATGACTTTAGAAGTGCCCCCTGCTGTTCAACATCCAGTCTTACTCCCCGTGTTTATACCGGGTACAGGGTGCTCAGGTGGCTCAATGCAAACCGTGTTATTATCGACCGTTTTCAAGTGTTCATCAGTGCAGTTCGATGTCATAGGTCATTACGAAAACAGGCACCAGTCCACCAATAACGGAATGATGTTTAGTCGATGGAAGCCGCCAAGTTGTTCTCGTGTACCTCTAACAGGCCACCTAGTGCGTGAACATCATCCGCCGATATTTATCGGCGCACACAACCCAATTAATAAAGATCGTTCAGCTGTAGCATCCTTTCGGTGCCTAACTGCCATGCCATCCGAAGGTTGCACGAGGGCTGGGATACTGCCAGGTTGCCCAAGCCTAGACAGGGGAGTCGAGAGACAGAGGTCGGGTTCGAACCACGGACCTTCCGGTTAGTAAATTCGCACTCTAACCACTTGGGTCATCTCGCCCCACACAACCCGCACCTTCATGGATGTGAGAGGTTCTGCCACATGTACTAGCCTGTCAAGGTCGAGAGCAACTTGTCTGCATCAGGCCACGTCATTTGCTGCCTAAAGGCCGTGTGATAATCATCATCATCATCATCAATGACAGCAACATCAGTGTTGGCACTGATGCTTCACTGCCGTACATATATACAGGCCCCCAAAGAATACGCCGTATCCGACCAGAATTGGTATTAGTGAATGGAGTCGACCACTTTTGCGGTATGTTAAAAAGGGTTTACTGTGGGGATTTTGTCCTGTAAGCGAAGCCAATATGTGCTGAAAAACCAAGAAGCACTGTACAGATGTTTCATCCTTATTGGGAATCATCAGCAGTGCCCACCTCACAACGAGACTCCGGAGAGCCTCCAACCTGCAACCTCCTGGCTAATGGTTTGAACACTTAACAGTTCCGCCACTGAGAAGTCATTGCTCGAGGAACCAGTCAACACGTGTGACCGAATGATGTGGATCCCGTGATTGAAGGATGAGCGACGCTATATCCTGCCTAAGTGCGAGTTAATCACTGCTGATCAGCTGCTCGTGGCCTAACGATTAAGCGTTCAAACAACCGGGAGGTCAAAGGTTCGAGACTTTCTGGAGTTTCGTGAGATGGGCATTGCAGATGATGACTCCAAATAAGGGCGAAACAGCTGTACGGTGCTTGTCGGCCTTCCAAAATTTCACACTACCAACAAAGCCGTTACTTTGAAGGCAAAGCTGTGCTAATGCCTACACTCAAAAGGCCGTAAGATGTATCTTGCAAAAATATGAGTGCCAATGGTAACTGTGGATAAAGCCTGACTTTCGTTTATTGCGTACCCAGCTTTGGACTTCGTGTAGGTTTAGAACGCATTCCGAAATTTCGAACCAGACTTCACACTTCTGAACATGGGAATTCAGCATTTCAGGCTAGCCGTCAGTTCAATGTTCATGAGCTGATGTCTACGTGGCTCACCCGTCACATCAGCTATTGTATTTAAGTACAGTAGCCAGTCGCACATAGTTCCCCGGAGAGCCCTTTTACAACAACCACAACCGTGAAAACTAGCCAGGAAAGGTCAAACGACTTGGTAGCGATGTATGGAAGTCATTACAAACAAACTCCACTACGTTGGTCATTGCTGTCTCCCTGAATCGGGACCCGAGACGGGACATATCAGTGGTTAGAGATATTGAAAAACACAGCCCAGTCGCGTGTGTATCCAGTATGGTACCTGTATTGCAATACAATTTCTCCAAATGGAAATACTGCCGACATACCTGACTTCACGTATCCATTGTATCACCTACTGCCCTCAACGAGTAGCTATCCAACCTTATCGCTCCAGGTAATTAGCAAGCAAAACTTTGGCAGCTATAACCACTGGGCAATGTGTAGGCAGTTTTTGCAGCTGAAGATGATAATACTAGTGCTGGCATATAGGTCACTGCGAGAATTCGGGCCCCACACTGGTAGGTGGTCTCTTTTCAGAAAGAACGCACACTAAATCATGCTTGGCAGGAAACGCCTTTGTGCATTCTAGAAGGGGGTTGCCTTCTCAAAAGGATTTATCGTCACTAGCATTGCACATTTAACATCACCATATAGAGTCACAGATCTTGTTTCAACTGTCATGTTCACGTAATGCAGATGAGTGAGGGGTGGGAAAGGGTCTTTCATGGGGGGAGCTAGAAAGTTGGAGAACCACTGCGTTAACATACCTTGAATCCAGTGTACTTATGTATATTCTTCAGTTGGATCTTGTAGGCCTCTGAGGTGAACGTATCCCGCTGAAGATATTGGTATGGACAGTCGGGGTGATCACACCCTGGACGTTGCGGTCGACTGGCGATTGATTGCCCCGTGTGCAGAAGTCGAAAGCAGTCACATTTGATATTGGGTTGCTCCACTGTGTCAGGCAAAACTGACGGATCTAGGGAATTCGCTTGTTCAGCGGTTACCTCTGCTGACATTGTGTGCTGCTAAAAGAAAAGCGAAGCGGTACAAGCACGGTGACACTAGAACAAAATAACGTTTGAAAAACATAGATGGCGATAAGAACTGATACTGACTTGATGTGCTGGCGATAGAGAAAGCCAGGAAAATCCCGTGAGGAATAGTCGCTCAAGAGGATAACAGCTGTGCCACATGCTTGAGAAGACAGATGAGATATGTCTGAGTGATATTAAAAAACAGTAATTCAGCTGGTGCATAGCTGCCATGCCAGTCAAAGGAGACACGAGGGCCGAAATACTGCTGGGTTGCCCAAGCCCAGAGAAGGGCAGTCGAGATGCAGAGGTCGAGTTCGAACCACGGAACTTCCGATCAGTAAATTCGCACTCTTACCAATAAGCCATCTCGCCCCCTATTAGAAATAAATGCCGGCTGATATTAGCCTAACTTGTGTGACGCTTGAACAATCAAGCGATCAAAGTGGCGACCGTGCATATCAGACGAAAGCGCGTCACGTCGATTGGGTAGTTGGTGTTCAGATGGATGTGGCGCTAATCCGTACGAGGACGTAAAACCTGCTGCCACACCATTAGGACCGTGCACGCCACAGTAAAAACTAGTGAATTAGGAGCTACTTCATAAGCATGCTTTGATTTTAGCCTTCTAAGCAAGCACGCATGGATTTTACGTGCTGAATAAAAGCACCACTCTGAAAAGCGATTACTGTTACCCTATACTGTGAGTTAACGTTGCGACAATACCGGAATGCAACAGCGCTGCTGTGACCATCGTTGTTCATACCTAGATGAATGGTGGGTAGCAGGGTCTCGGATCGTTGGGCTCAGCTGTTCAGATATACCCACATGAACTGACAATCATTAGCCACCAGTTGGGTATGCTGATGACTTTAGAAGTGCCCCCTGCTGTTCAACATCCAGTCTTACTCCCCCGTGTTTATACCGGGTACAGGGTGTTCAGGTGGCTCAATGCAAACCGTGCGTGTTATTATCGACCGTTTTCAAGTGTTCATCAGTGCAGTTCGATGTCATAGGTCATTACGAAAACAAGCACCAGTCCAGCAATAACGAAATGATGTTTAGTCGATGGAAGCCGCCAAGTTGTTCTCATGTGCCCCTAACAGGCCACCTAGTGCGTGAACATCCGCCGATATTTATCGGCGCACAAAACCCAATCAATAAAAATCGTTCAGCTCTAGCACCCTTTCGGTGCCTAACTGCCATGCCACTCGAAGGTTGCGCGAGGGCTGGAGTACTGCCAGGTTGCCCAAGCCTAGACAAGGGATTCGAGAGGCAGAGGTCGGGTTCAAATCACGGACCTTCCGGTCAGTAAATTCGCGCTCTAACCACTTGGGCCATTTCGCCCCACACAATCCGCACCTTCATGGATGTGACAGGTTCTGCCACATGTACTAGCCTGTCAAGGTCGAGAGCAACTTGTCTGCATCAGACCACGTAATTTGCTACCTACAGGCCGTGTGATAAGGTCACAGTTGGCACACTTTTCTGCCGAATTCGACCATCTGCCAATAGAGCAACAGGCGACTAAATGTACGCCGACCATGTCGGCTGACCCCATCTTATTGCACAACTGGAAGCGCCCACTGCTTCCATTTGGTGAAACTGGTAAACGGACTGAAGCAGCCAGCGGAATATAAAGTGGAGCTGCGGACCCAAACTGTTTGTGTATTATGTTACTGACACCAATTCAACCCATCAAAAGTCACACGACTGAGTGTTTTATGCAGTGTTGTTACAATGTGAACTTAGATAGAGGAATTTAAATAGAAGGGCGAAAACGAGCGCATTATCCCGCCATTGAAGCGTCAGTTGAGGCATAAGAGACTCGTTTTGCTATTTGCCACTGATTGTAAATACATGCACTCTGGCGTTGCAACATGAAAGGACTTCTCCATTTCAGAAATCCACGGGACCCCGGAGTATTGTGAATAAATCCCTTACCATTTTCACACATATATTGACTGGGATATCCAAAGTCAATTTATTTATGTCAGTCAGGCACCAGCACACTTATGGGGAACCTGTGACTGGCCATTTTTCATGCGGGAAAACATAAAGTAACTGTTGGGTTGTAGCACGCCTTCGGTGCCTAGCGACGACACTACACGAGAGAAGCACGAAGGATGAAATACTGTCAGTTTTCTCAAGCGGGATTGGATGTCTGGGTTGAGTTCGAACCTTTCAGTTAGTATGCTTGCGCCTTGAAAGCTGAGTTGTTGCTAGCCCAAATCCGTTTTCAGCTCATGGAGGATATTGCACCAGGTAAACATGGACGGACAGCACAAACCGTTAGGCGGTGCGGAATACATGGTATGGACGTCAAATGTTGACAAAGAAACGAAATTAGTCATTCCCAGGTCAGTTGAAATTTTAGACAGCAAATTTTAGACATCAAAGGGGTTAACCAGAACGAAAAGCCCCCAAGTCAAGAGCTCACACCTCAACTCCTAAGTTCAAAAGTAGTCAAGATTGAAAAGGAAACAAGATTTCAGAACCCATAATAAGCAGTAATCAAGAGTAAAAATACGGGATACTCTTGCTAAACGACGCATTCATGGTATAACTTACCAGTGTAGCCACCGATGACCAATGGGTACTGTTTCATAATGCCCACGTCCTGGGCCGTACAAGATAACAAGGTTCCGATAGAGAGAGATGGAATTTGACAGCTAAAACCGCAATAAGGAAAGAGATCAGTTCCGAGACTATGCTGCTGAGGTTTGGATATAGCATCACCTCCGTGGGAAGCGTCACATTCATCTGGACTGAATGAAAATGACCTGGACTCCCGGTAAGCGCCAGTCTCTCAATGAAAGTGTCTTAGCTCCTAAATTATAATTCAAGCAGAGGAAAGTCAAGGGGATAATAAAGAATAACAACAGCTCAGCTCTAACTCTCTTTTGGTATCTAGTCGCCATGCTAACCGAAGGAGGCACGATGACCGAGGTACTGCCAAGCTGTCCAAGCCTAGACAGGAACAGTCGAAATGCAGATTCTGGTTCCAGACCACTGAAAGAAAGAAAGCGTTCAGCTGTAGCGTCGGAGGAAGTCATTCCACGCAGCTACTACCCGAAATGAAAAAAAGTTTTGTCTAATGAATGTGTGTGCCCTGAACTTGAAGATTTTCTTACCTTGTCCCCGCCGGGTGTTTGCTGGGTCAACGGTAAAAAACCTGTTTGCCAAGCTTTGTTCAACCAGGGCGTAAGTAAGAATTAGGTCCCTCGGGGGCGACGGTACACCAGGGGAAAGAGATCAAGCATCGCGAGACGCGTTTCAAAGTCCACGGATTTGAGGCCGGCAACCATTCTCGTGGCGGCCCGCTGGACACGCTCAATGAGGGTAACGTCTTTCGTACGTCCTGAGTAGACAACTTGGTTGGCGTACTCCAAGAGCGGTCTGACGTAGGCCCCATAGAGTATTTGGAAGTCCATGCGAGTAATACGGGAGAAGGTACGTCGAATCATCCGTAAAACGGCGAATGCCTTTTGGGCCGATTTCTCATGGTGTAGTGCGAAAGACAAGTTTGAGGAGACCCAGATGCCTAAATCTTTTTTGGCATCTATCCTCATGATGTTTTCTGGTCCCTTTCCACCATGCATAACAAAGGCATTCGCTGAACCCCCTCCAAACGACACATGGACACACTTTTCATCATTCAGAGGAAGGTACCAGTCCAACGACCACTGCTTGGCAACGTCTACATCCATTTGGAGGGCACTGGCATTGGAACTCCAGGATTTCAAGTCGTCCGCAAAAAGTAAACATGGACTCGCAAGAACGTCTGGGAGGTCGTTGACGTAGATCAGAAACAGGAGTGGTCCCAAGACGGAGCCTTGAGGAACTCCAATGGAGACCGGCGCTGGAGAGGAATAGGTTGAGCCTATTCTCACTCGGAATGACCTGTCTGATAGGAACGCCTTGATCCAGCGAAGGATTTTCCCTTGAATCCCGTAAGACTCGAGTTTGTGGAGCAGCGGGACGTGTGGGACCCTATCGAATGCTTTTGAGAAGTCGAAAAATATGGCATCAGATATGAGTCCTTCGTCCTTGGCCTGGCTTAGGCTGTCCATAAACACGAGCATGTTTGTCACGCAGGAACGGTTTGGGAGAAATCCGTGTTGAGCTGGAGATATCAGATTGCTGGAAGTAAGGTGATCTAGGATGGCTCGCTTCAGAATGCGTTCCATCACCTTTCACGGCACGCTAGTGAGGCTTATGGGCCTGTAGCTGCCAGGCGATAGTCGGTCACCTGTTTTGTATATTGGCGTGACAATCGCTTCCTTCCAAGCAGGGGGAAGGCGGCCTTCGTCAAGCGACTGACGAAACACCAAGTGTAAATGGTTTGCCAGTGTGGAGGACGTTTCTTTTAGGATCCTCGGATGGACCTCGTCGGGTCCCAATGCGCAGAATGGGTTGATCTTGTCCAGGAGTTGACGAATGTCCTCCACCGTGAAGACCAAGTCGGTTAGAGGCTGTTTGCAGCTCCGCGTTGGCAAGTTCGGATGTGGCGAGGACGCTGGGGCTGAGTATAGACACGCATAGTGTTCTCTGTAAGCCTCAGATACCACTGTTGGGTCATTCGTCGGTTCTCCGTTTCTGTCCCTCAAGGAGAACGCGGTCAGTAAATTCGCGCTCTAACCACTTGGGCCATTTCGCCCCTCCGGACCACTGGCCTTCGGGTCAGTAAATTCGCGCTCTAACCACTGAGCCATCTCGATCTCAGAGTAAGGGGAAATTCGATTACGAAGTTGAAAATTCTCCAGCCCGTGTTCCTCCGGATACGAAAACAATAACACCATCGCGCATCGCAAGTTGGATGTTCATCGCAACCATCATCATCGTCAAAGATAGTAACAGTGGTAACAAAACCGTGGACTAGTGGCACGGTCTGCATAAAAGAACAGCCAGCGTGGTGAGATGTTCACTGACGAACAATTGCCACCTTGATGTGGTGGTCTGGTTTGAATGTTCCAATGATCCGACGAGCCATATCAGCTGAAACCATGCAAGGTAGGAGAAAAGAGTTGTCACCATCACCAACAATCATGAATTTCGAATTTCTTTCGAAATTCCAGCTAAGGCTTACATTTCGAACCTCATCAACTCAAACCAGATTTTCGAGGCAAATAGGATTTATGGTGTTGTGGATGTGCTAGGCATTAGGGCTGACAGCATCGAACTGCAATAGACTCCAATAAAAAGTCGTTTGGCTCAAGACCAATGTATGGAAAACACAAAAACTGTTCACTTGTGGTATGAGTGTAGGCGCCGAAAACCCCAATTCATAAAACTAAGTTCTACCTAAAGGTTTCAATTTCGGAAAGCAATTGCGTCAGATTTGATTATTGGTCTCGTAGTTAATGAGTCTTGTAGAGGCCCATCCAGGTCATCCAGTAGGAGTGATGACATGTCATACAGACAGCAGGAGTCAATTCCTCCAGCGATGCACCGACTAGCATGTTTCCGTCACGAAGAGATTGGACCTTACCGTGATGCGACGGTTTATGTGTCTCCATGACCCATCGAGCTACAGTGCGGGGATGTCCGTGCGATACTCTCAGTCAGTTATATCAGGTTGAACAATGGTTAGAGGTCTGACCACCAGGCTCCCGGCCCTCCAGGTTGGGGTTTGGAACATGAGTGGCGACTTGCAATGCACTTGCAGTTCCCACCTAATACCATTGCCGTGTGGCCAGGCCCCTGAGCCAGGCACTTTGATGGAGAACGCTAATCGTCCTTCTGTCTAGCTGTGGGCGCCATAATAGTATCCCTCGTACAATCATGAACTGCACGCACAAATAAACTCATGCCTCATCAGCTGTCGGGTAGTGCCATCAGCCGGGTCACCTCACTTGCTGCATACAGCAGGGTGGCAGACAAAAGACGGGCTACTGCTGATGCTTCCCTTCTTCCTTTCACATACTCTCATCCTTCTCGCTCTGCCCCACTAATGACTGAATCTTTGTAGGCCCAGTTCTTATGACTAATTGCGCCGTTCGTCCAGTATCGGTTTTGCAAGCAACATCGGCGCGTCGTTCGGCGCCGACATCCTCAGGCATCTCGGAATCGATCTTCAAACCTCAACACCCGGTATATCTGATTGTCCTCAATGTCCAGATTCTGAAGCAAGTAGGTCAACAAGCTGCTCTTGCTCTCACACTGGACTCGCTTGGCATTGATGTGTGCTGTGTCTTGGAAACACGAATTTAAGATGCAAGCACAGTGGTTGGACTAACCGCCCCATTATTCTCCACTCGTTCCCAGCTGCGCATCTCCGGCGAGTGGTTGGACCGCCCCATTATTCTCCACTCGTTCCCAGCTGCGCATCTCCGGCGATGCAGAGGCCACTGCAAAATGATATCCAGGGGTCGGTATCGTTCCAAGTAACCTCCCGGAAGGATCCTTGCTTAACTGGCTACCTGCTGAAAGTCACCTCGGTTTGGTCCCTCTGGTAAAGTCCGCGAAGGAGTCTCACAAGCGGGAGGTTGACCGCTGTCTGTTTGAATTATCTGCTTACGCCTCAAATGACTGTAACTCTGACACCATCAAAGATAAGTTTTATGATGTTCTGAACTCTCTCTTGTGGCGAGCCAGAAGCTGAGATATCGTTGTGGCTGGTGGAGATCTAAATGCACAAATGGGCAGACTTAGTGGATCTGAGACTCAATTGAGTGGTCGACACGGATTGGATTCGTTACTTAAGAACAATGGTGAACGATTGCTGTGGTGGTGTACTGACCGCAGGCTATGCCCACGAACTCATACTAATCATATCGCCACCAACTATCGATAGCACGGATAACTGACTGGCGGTCGTTTTGGACCACACGCTAGACCAGAGTCGCTTCTCCCTTCGTCTCCCAGGGCCGCATAACGTGCGGACAAATGACTTAGCAACTTAGAGACTAGCGGATCCAAATTTCAGATGAATTGACCAGAATAGTCTTCTCCAGTCTCCTTCCAACTGCTCCACCATCAGATGTGTATTTATGCTGGAACGAAATCCCCAGCTCTTCAGAAAGTGTTTGTGGACATGTAGTCACTGAACACGCCACTTACAGTTCAGGAAAGGGCACTCGGAGTTGTGGAGCATTTTACATATCTTGGAAGTTGTACTAAATATCGCTGTAATGTGACAGATGAAGTAAACGCACGAATGTGTAAGGCCCAGGTCGCGTTTGCCAATCTGAGACACGAACGGCTTGAAAGCAGCATATCCCTGAAGCTTAAGGAACGTGTGCATTAGGCTAAAGTTCAGGCTGTTCTGTGTATTATTGCCGAGATGGTTCGGGCAGCGGAAATGAGATGCCTTCAGAACCTCGACAACTGTCGTCTCCGAAAAACAGATTGAGTGAGTTGAAGCCGGCAAATTCGTGACGGGGCAACTACACAGAGTGTTCGGCTAAGTAGCGGAGGCTTGCATTGAAGGATGTGTCCAGAACTAAAAGGTGTGTTGGCCAAGCCAAGTTCTGCGCATGTCAAACCGCCATTTTCTGAAGAGTGCTGTTTCCCGTTCCAAATTCGGAATGGCGGAGGCAGATTAGCCAAGCCCTGATCTAGCGGATGGATAAGAAATGGTGAGGAGGCGTCTGGGTGCTGTCGATGCGACTCGCTTTCCACGGTAGGGACCACTACCCACGCTGCGCCTGGTTGGAGAGTCTATAGGTTGTGTAGTAACGGTATTTTCTCAGCTGAAATCTCGGTCTGAATATTAATGTTCAGTTACAGTAATAGTGATAATTATCACTATTGCCATAACTTTTCCATTTTTCACTTTTGTGAACTATGGGGAGTTCATGAATGGCTCCGTAGGATTTTCATAACAAATATAACCTTATTTTGGTTTATGTGCACTGCAAAAAAATTTCTAAGTGTTTGCTCCAGTTTCGCTCCTACTTTGCTTAGGGGTACCGTTTTTTTTAATATAATCCCAGGCGACTTACACCATCCAGCGACTACGTATAACTATACCGTCGAAAATGAGGTATCTATCGTGCAGGTCCGATTTGTATGGGACGAATCAACGAGAGATTGTTTACGAGGTTGTGGTAAT